AAAAAAAAAAAAAAAAAAAAAAAAAAAAGGGAAAAAAAAAGAGAAGGGAATTTTCCCCCTTAATTCCCCCCTTGGGCGGGGGGGGAAAGCCCCCTTGTTTTTTTTTTTTTAATTTTATTTCCCAGAAGGAAAAAACGGGTTAAAAAGCCCCTTTTGGTGGCATTGATTATATTATCGGGCGCCTCCACAAGGTAACCTAACCACTCAGAAACAAACCAAGTAAATCCCACTTTTTTTGCAGACTTCTTTCTTCGCCCTAATCAATAAGCGCGAAGAAATACTTCTGCGAAGAAGGATCTACGGTGGGCTACCTACCAAGTGCGTAATCGCGGAAAGGAGACGAGCCAAAGAACGACCTGTGTGGAACAAAGCAAGCAACCTTACTAAAGGGGCGTTTTGATTTTCTTATGCCTTTTGGACTCACCAATGCCCCTGCCACGGTTTTTTGCAGCACCCTCCCACAATAAAGCTATTCCACCTGTACTTAGAGACGGACTGGTGGTATACTTGAATCGTGGGCTTTAAAGCCTATTCGTTAAAACGACCACGTTTAGCCACCTCCGGACCTTAAGGTATTAAGGAAAGAAATCGCCTCTAATGGTAAAGAAAGAGAAATGCTCCTTTTGGACAGACGGAAGATCCTATTTTCCTAGGGCCATTGGTGGGCATCGAGCCATCGAGGAAATGGCTAAAAGCACCTACCAAGGTGAGTGAGCTAAGATCGTTTTTTAGGGCTTCGTGGAAACTATTACCGAAATTGCATCGTAAGTTACTTCGAAGAGGGCTGCTCAACTACAAATACTAAAGAAGGACATACGGACCGATCATGGAAACTGCACTGATCGTAAGAGTGTCAAAGAGCTTTGAGGCCCTAAAAAGCAGGCAGTGATGGATTGACGTTTGCAGTTTGCCAGATTCACACTAACCATTTGAAGTACATACACGGATGCGTCCCAGACTATGCCATAGGCGGTGTGCTAGGTACAATAAGGTAACCCAGTAAGCTATATGAGAGCCGAAAGCTCCCAATGAGATCCCGAAAGGCGTGGTCCCCAAGATAAGGAATTCATGAGTGACCTGAACATAAAGCCATGGAGCTAGTCTACTGTTAAAACGATGTACACCTCTTTCCCTCAATGGATAGATGGTGCCACCCACAACTGTATACAAGATAGATCCTCTGTTTACAACATTTTTTTCAAATACGAATTTTCTTAAATCAAACATGGTAGCGAAGAGGGAGACAGCGGATGGAAATTGGACTACCAATGGGCACAGGCTTCTGATTGAGAAGATTCGAGGTTGCTTTGTCTGGTCCAAAGCGATGCATCTTTCCTTTCTCGAATGCACTTCTCTATATGGCAACAAGGGAGGTGCAAGCCCTTGATCTGAATCCAGTAACGGTAGACAACTCAAAAACGAAAGCAGTCCTTTGGGTAAAGCTTTACACTTGACATTCCACATTGAAGTAGTGCACATTTCTTTCCTCTGAAAATCTCATTGTAAAATAGAAGTTATCAAGCCGGTGTAGGAGCCACAAACAAATGAATAAGTGGTTCCCAACGATGTGCACATATGTATGAGTACTTTGTCTACAATTTCTCACATTGAGCATTTCTTTCGGAACCTAAATTACCCACCCTTTCAAACTAGGGATTTAAGCACGGAACTCTAACATAGGGTTATGTCCAGTCCCTAATTCCTAGACAGATAGGGAAGAAAGAAGCCAATTTTCCCTAGTCTCGTAAAAGTAATCAATACCCGCACTTGATTTCCATAGCAGTTGGTTCCTTCAACTTCCTCCAGCATTGAAGTTCCTTGCCTTACTTTTACGGAAAAGAGGAATTTAATCAATATCGGGATATCCGGGGTAAGATAAATAACTAATAAATCGGAGTTAGCGGGCTAAAGCTAAGCTAACTATGTTATGTAGTACAGGGTCTCAGGGTGACGTGGACCACCTCGTCCTCTATTTGGCAAGAATGCCACGCCTTGGGAGCTGGGATCATAGCAGGGAAGGAAAGAGAAGAGTACCTTCCCACATCGAGAAAGCCGCGTGTTTTTGGCATAAAGACAGATTCACTCGATGGAGTTCAATCTGAACGGAACCGATCAGACGTCGAGGAAAACCGCATCGCCTTCAGCAGATTTCGAAAACCGGTGATTGGACAAGAAAAAGGAGGATCGATCAATTGAGGAAAGGCACTCGGGGTTAGCCAGCAAACCCAATCGCTTTCGACAAAACAAGATCTGGTAGAAGTCCAAGATTCGAATCAGTTCAACAGCGTCCTTTTGTTCCTCAGTTCAGATATTCCAACTTTCAAAAGAGATCCCCGAGGAACGTCTTATACCACATTGAACAAACATTTTGAAACAAAGAGAAAAAATAAAGGCAACCCTCGGGAAGAGATCTCCCCTTGTCAAAAGTCTGGTCGGTCTTACGCTTGTCCTTCACGTTGAGATCTGGTTTGTCAACGAACCCAACCTTCCTTCTGAAGATTGGAAGAGTATTCCTTATGGAATCCTCCCCAATCCTGTCTGTGATCGAAAAGGCTCCCTCTCCGATTCCTCTTGCGGCGGGGAAGCAAGCATCTGAAAGTTTTCTCTCGAGTCAGAGGGCTTAGTTGAAAATCAAAAAACTATTTTAGTCTTAACTAAGTGAAGTCACAAGAATGATGATGATGATTCGGCCATCGGGGAGAATTTGGTTGCTCGCAATACTATCTCCGTTTCTTGAGAGGGCTAGAGAGCTCAACCCAATGCAAAGAATTTCAATCACAGGGGGTGAAAGGAAAGTGCGGAATCACGCGTTCACCTTTTCTGTTAAGCGCCGGTTTGATGAGAGTGGACGTTGGGGAGCCCCATCCGCCCTATAGGTAATGACGCTTTCGTTTTCCTCTTTCTTGCAACCGGTAAACGCTCCCTAGCAATTTTTTGACCTAGCCTGCTATCTTATTGAATGAGGATACGGGATGTAAATCCTATATTCTAGTAAAGGAATAGTCCAAAATGGATTGTTTGTTGGACTGGCCAGTGATTCATGCCCACAGGCCTCTTAGCCTAGAAGAGAAAGTAGGAGGATCGATTTTAAATGCAAGTTTCCTAGCAGCTCAATGAGTTATCCAGCAAGCCTATTAGCAAGATCGACTTTTCATATGAACACTATGCCAATCCAAGCCTAAGTTCCTCAGCTTAATGAGTTCAGCGAGTCTCCTGATTCTGGCTACTCGTTTTAGGCGATTAGCAGTTTTAGCGAGTGTCTATCTTATGTCACACTTTGGGATCTCAGACACTCCTTGCATTGAATTCCGGAAGTTTCTCGGCTGACCGAGCCACGCGAAGAGTTTACCAGAAACTGGTTGCTTGTACGTCTTCCCATTCCAGGGTCAAATCGAGTCTACGCGAACGGAAAGAAATTCATTCCTTTTCGAGACCAAGAGTGAGCCTTTTCGTTCTCGATGGAGTCCATGCTAGAAGTAGGAACCTCTTTCCGTTAGCCTCTTAGTGATCAGAGGTGCAGATGCCTTTTTCTTTGCTGCTTTTTTACAGCCCTCGCGCCATCAAGGGCTGATTTTCATTTCTTGCTTGCCGAGCTATAAGTAAACCATTTAGTTATGGGGTCCCACTTCCGTCGATCTAATCATTCGAAGTCTTCGCTGTCCGGTTATCGGTTGGCAAGGTCTGATGAACTTTTCTCTTCTTTCGAGAAGCGCTAGGATTGACCGGCTTTTCCTTTTAACCAGCTCAAGGAAGTTAGGAGTTTAAGAAGCCTTGGTGCCCAGCGAAAGCGAGTTCTTCCTTTTCTTTAATAAGATAAGGCAATTGCCCGTGTAAAGGGAAAGCTAACCAAAACTCCTCTTTAGATGATGCCCGAGATCATTTCCTTTTACGGGTAACTGCAGGGGTATGGTATCAGGGGGGGAAAGGAAATGGGGACATGGAAAAGCAGCTTTAGTTAATTTGGTACGTGGCCCTTGAATGGTTCGGTTTCTTTACATCCAGTGCTCTTTTCCGGGTAAGATTTTGAATCCTACTTTCATCCTCTTTCATTCCCGCAGTATGAGAATCTACAGTGGAATTAGTGGACGATCTGAATGCAGAGTAAGAAAACTACGGGTTTTTTTGATCCGACAAACCTTGCTAGTCGACAGAAAGGGACGGTCTCAGCACAACCCTCGATAGCTTCCTGGTTTAACTAGTTTCTGGAACTCTGATTAGCCCTTCGACTTCAAAGTCTCGAAAAATCAGACTTCAATCGCAAATTCTCAGTTGGAAGAATCTTGTAATAGAAGTAAGTGATACCGGGGCTAGCAGGACTGAATGCTTAGTAAGCTCCCCGTATAATAGGTATGTGGGAAGGTAATTTAAATATTTCGACGTTACTTATAAGGCCTTGAATTGAGGGATAACCTCTTTCCTCTTTCCTAGGGCAGGTGCAGGAGCCCGCGGGGCCTCTAAGGGATACTTTGTAGAGTAAGGTATGATATTCCCCCTCAGAGAAACTTCACTCCCTTCTTTCGGTAGATAATTGGCTACTTCTTTCTCGTTCGATCCGTATAGTCTAGGGCAGTGGATTTGGGGTTATCGAAAAGGAATTTTCCACGCTTCGAATAGAATAAAAATCCACTCCCGCTCTTCTTCACCATAGGAACCAAAAGACAGAAGACTAGTGCCTTGCGTTGCCTCTAACAACATGGGTGAACGTTCAAGGTTCTATAAGAATATAAGATAAGGTTCAACTACTTTATTGGCTCTAAGCCCTAGTTCTTCAAGCAAGCAGAGAAGGCAAGGGAATGCGTTAAGAAAAGCCTGAACTTCATATACGAAAATCGAAAATAAAATCACTGGCCGCAAATTTCTTTAAGTTTATGGAGTAGGCAAGATTTCAGTCTGTTGCCAGAAAGCTCATCGGCAAGAAAGCGGAAAGCTCAATTGCGATACTCGAAAAAGACAGGAACGGACCCCCTATTGAAAGATATGTATTTGTCCAAGCCCGATCAATTAACTTGCGCCTACGAGACTTTAGGAAGGTCCCCCAGCTAGATTAGGGGAAGCAAGGCCCAAAAGGAAAAGAGGAAAACACGAAAAGAAAGGTAATGGTTTTTTGGGAGAGGAAGGACTTCGGCAACGAGTTAACACGCACTGTAACCAATAGGCGCAAGAAGTGGGAGTTCCGGTATTCAGACAATAGAAGGTCCGAACCTGGGCATCCTCACTAGTAAGCCATCGGCGTCCTTTCTTTTCAACCAGTTAATCTGTTGGTTTTGAGAAGCCAGCACGAGAACGAAGTTGAACCCGCTTGAACCGTAAAGCTTGAATTTCCCGTGACGAGGAAAGAAAGCAATGAAAGAGGCCAAGTGCTTTTCCCTTTTACTTTCCTTTCGGGTACGTATTGTTTATTGTTATAAGAAATAAGTACCCACGTCCACTTTCCTACTCGCCCTTTTATTTGGTCTGGACAACATGTAACTTCATTATGTATTGAACTAATGATCATAACCCAAAACAGGAAGCAGAACCGGATTATTGAGAAGGTCATGTTCCACCTTGGAATTAAACTCCTTCTAACCGAACGATAGAATAGGATATTCAATGCATCGATGGATATATAATCAAAGTAAGATAATTGAGTGGTGACCGATCAGACATACGTGCTTTCCTTTGCACCGATGCTTTTCATAGGGCATTCTAGTCTGCCTCCTTCTATCTGTGCTCTCTCTCTTCTGTCTCTTACTGGCTGTCATGGATTGGTTGCCCCTAAACCCTTCCTCTCACATTCTAAAAAGCCGTCTTCAATCATCTCCCTTTTCGTTTTTTCTATCCTTATTAAAAAAAGGTCCGGAAAGTCCCTCCCAGTATGAAGTATGGCAGCGAAGGTAGCAGTGGTTCGGTTGAAATCCCATTTCATGTAGTTGGAAAGCGGCCTGGGTAGTTAATTCATCCATGTTTCCTCATTAAGCCGTATTTTAGAGGGCAATGAGAATCCCAAATCTAGCTTTCGAAATGTACCATTGCTACTCCTATACTGGTTTCGTTGCTGGGGCGTAGGCCTGTCATTTATTATCACCCGAGGCCGCTCACGCACCATGCATCGCAGTTGTTCTAGCATTTGGGAAAAAAGTTTTTCTTACCCATCCCCCTGTATAAGTAAGTATACGTTGCCATTAGTTCTTAGAAGCGATGTTCTGTCATTCCCAATTGGATCGATGCCCTTTGTTCGTTTGTGATGCACCGTTGGATTTTTTCCAAGAAATGGAGTGAACGGCCATTAGCTTACTCTAGGTAGTGTTAGATAAGCTAATGTCATATTTTGTGTGTAGAAAGCCGTCTGCCCTGTTTTTGGTCTTTCGCTTGTTGTTTAATTCCATATATGTTTCCGACATATGAGTAGAGCTACTTTATCCCTATTTTTTTGATGTCATTCATAACTAAATGATCCACCCGTGCGTAAACCAAACGAAGAAAGGCAAAGGTTTAATAGCATCGAGCGCTTGATATGGCGTTTTGCTACTTGCCCGCCATCAGAGCAAGCATAGGTGGAGACAGCAGAGTCAACAGGTAACATATAGCGCCCCGCTGGACTCGCCCTATACTGTCCATATCATATTGGTATGTATCTACTAGCCCGGAATTCGATATGTTACTGAAGCTAGTGGAACTACGTGAAGGAAAGCTGCCCTTTTCTCTATCTATGATGCTTATAAAATATAAAGCATCTTGATATAGCAGCTGGAGAAAGAAGTGCTGCTGCCTCTCTGCTCTTCTCCACAGCTTCAAAATCTAAGCTTTACTAATAGGGGCCGATTTGATATCAAGTAAGGTGTTTATCAGTCAGCGAGACCAATGAAGGCAAAGTCAGGAAGTCGAGCAAGGGTCAATGCAATCCAGTAGTTTTCTTCTCAAGCCAGCATTCGGGAACTCCTTTAATTTACGGGAAGCAAGCGGGAAAACAGTAAATAGGAAAAAGTAGTAAGATCTTCCAAGTATAATTAAGAGAAAGGACTACTTAGTCGTAGGGCACGAATGGCATAAGACTAGCCTAAAGGTGGAACCCGTGAGACTTATAAATGTGGTGATCGTATCAGCTCTTACTGCTCTCGTAGAGCTTAATACCCAAAAAATTAAGGCGTAGATTCTGGGTCTTAGATCCTAATAGCCGGCTAAGGGAGAGACTCTAATGAATGATGCGGGTACATGAGCAAGTCAAGCTTGGGCGCCTGAAGCCCTTAGTAACGCGAACTTCAAGAAGGGGGGGAGAATCTCTTTTAACATCTTCATCCAGAATTCATCAAAATCTGCAAGCAATCCACTTCCGTAAGGGCTATTGCTTCAGCTTCTTTTTGGCTACCCTTTCTTTTATATGACTCTTTCTTATTGCTGCTAATAGATACCTGCTTGCTTCTTGCTTACTGGCAACCTTTAATAAGATCTCTAACCTTCAAAGCTACTTTAAAGCATGCTCCTTTCAAAAAGGGGATTCCGATCCCCCGAGATGTGCTTTGAAAAGATCTCTCTCGACAGCGCAGTTAGGTCTTAGAGAAGGAACTTTTCTTTTTTCCCCTTTTATTGTTATTATCTATTCTTAATCTTTAGTAAATTTGGTCTACAACTCTTTATTTTCAAATTAAAAAGCAAGGACTAATTATTAATATAGCACCCCACGGAACACCTATTTGATCTTATCTAGCCTGCCTTAAAAAGGGCTTCGGCCTCCTGTTTGTTCCAAGGAAGTTGAACTTTGTTGAGCTTCTTTTAGTGAGTGAACAAGCCGCTTTCCTAAATAATACATTATTCCATTCCAGACGATTCGATTCGGTGGCCGAGTTGGTCTGACTCAGGAAGCTCCCTCAGAGCAAAGGCAAGCCTGTAAGTCAGTTTCAGTCTGCCTTCCGCTAGAAAGCTCACTAACACGCCACGTCCACTTTTTACTTTAGCAAAGAAAGACAAGCTACGAACTACCGCCTGCCCTTCGCGTGCTCGTAGGTTGACTCGCCTATGCATCCCGACTAAGGTCTCACAAACGTGCACTTTCTTATGCATCCAGACCGCCTTCACTAAATGTGAATAAGGTTTTATAGAAGGGGTTTGGGTTTATTATATATTACCTCTTATGTGCGTTCCTTCTTCCGAAACCTTTTTGTATGTATTGCCCCTTAACTATAGATCAGATCCAACGGACGAGAAACTCAATTCCGCCACTTGCTGCTGAGTCGTCCGGCTATCCAGCCAAGGGATTCGTGGGAATTTCTGTGGATTGTGTTGGGGGAAATCTACCAAAGCTAGGCAGATAGATAGACTCCTTTCCCGCTGCTAAGGGAGAAGCAGAAACAAAATCAAAATGATTGTTTTTTAAATACAGCGTCCCCCTTTTGGTAATGCCAGATACTAGAGTTCTCTCACTACCAACCAGTAAGACATCATCTGGCTTGGGTCTTGCCGGTATCAAAACAACGAGAAAAAACAACCAAATGAAAACAACAACTAACTAAAATGGCTCCTTGGCCCAGACAAACGTCCTAGGCGTGGGGGGGATGCGGAGCCAAGAGGGAACGCCTTAGACGGACGTTTTTTATTCCTGGGCTGCAGTAAGTAGATCCGAAGAGGTCGTTTCGCCCTTGTCCCTGAAGATGGGTAATATGTTCTCAAAAATGTTGCTCCAAATCTGACCTAGCTGGGCTGAGACGATCCCAGTTCGCGGCAGAGAACAAGACAGCAAGCGAGCGTACCTTTGTTCGCTCTTCTCCACCAAGCACGGAAGTTTTAAGGATAACTGTAGGTCGGTGGCTACCTAAGGAAACTCCGATTCGATCTGCCCCGGCTGGGAAGGCATTTACCTCATCCCGATCACAAAGGAGAGGTTCCACCATGATGGGGGGTACTTCTTTTTTTTCCCTTCGGAAAGAATGAAACTGCATAGGGGACCATCTTTTGTTGCGCATGCTCGTTACAGATTTACGGATTCGCAAGGGGGCCTCAGCCCTACTTTAGTTTGACTGACAATGACAAAGGCTTGCCGAAACTAAGTAGGGCTTTTGAATTGAAATCTTAAGTAGTCTATCAGTGGTGCCGAAGCGGCTTTTGCCCGCTTTTTCAGTAGGGGAGGCGAAAGGTTAGACCTTATCAAGTCAGCGAACCAGCGGTTCTTCTATGGTAGGTATGGCCGTTCCTCTGACCTCTCTAAACGTCGAGCTAAGTGACTTCGTACCTTTGCGTAGTGTAGTAGAATGAAGGCTACGCACTACGACGCTCTCTTATCTAATAGCCTTAAGCTCTTCGCTACTCGCATCGCCTATTATACTACACCCTACTATACAATGACATTAGTAGGTAGGCTAGGCTAAACGCTTAACTTCTAACTAATGTATTGTATAGTAGCGCCTTTTCCTTTTGAATAACCCCATTAATCTTTCATAAGTCAAAGTAGGCGAACCATAGGTCCTTTAGTAGCGTTGACAAAGAAGAAGCCCGGTTAAAAGACAAGCGAAATCTTTTTTATTTATATCTATTATTATTATATATAATCTAAAATAATATATATGATAGATATAAAATTAGAGAGACTTTATGCGATCCCGGCCCGGAAAAGTGACCGACCAGGGCCTCTATTGCATGAAATGAAAGAAAGGCTCGTGAGAACCTAGCCCTTGTAAGCCCACACCTGTGTAAAGAGTAAAGATGGTCACACCTGCCGGCACAAAACCAATTTTTTGACCTATTGGTCCTAGTATCATAGGCGACCGAACGACCCGCCCCCTAATTACTAGACCCGAACCCTGGCCTATAATAATTCCCATAAACACCTAGCGAAGATATGGGCAAACAAATAAAGTAGGCCCTATGTTCGGATCTTGACAATACCATACCATAATCAAAAGGTTAATACGGCCCCGAGCGACAGACTTAACATAAATGTAAGCCACTGGAGCCATTCTAAAAAGGGAGAATTAGCACTAACTTGGTGAAATAGGTTCTTTATGATCAATTTCGAACCATTGCCTAGAGGTTGTAACAAATCCGAACAATCCCCCACTACATCAGGACCCCTTTCGACGTTGGCACAAAAGCCCATTCTTTACGTTTCAGCTGCACTGAAAAAGGCTAATCTCCTAGTAGAAGTGGTCAGAATTTTCCAAGTATTTCAGCTGGAACAGCTATGTACTTTTCGATTTTTCTAATTCACTCATGATCTGGCCTGGTCTGACGCCAATCATGATATTGAAGGATGGGACCTTTTCTCGAAAAAACCCTGGATCCGGGAAGAGTTTGAAAGATGGTGGCAACATCGAATCTGTTACGTTACTTCGAATGGAATCTTAGCCCCGCCTCACTGCTTTCTTTTACTGCATAAAAGGGCATAAGCGAAGTCAGGGATTTCCTTCTAACTATGGCTGAGAATATAACCTTCATTCAACAAGATTTTTTTGATTGCAGTGCTCTGGGTCTGGAATCTTTGCTACTTTCTCTTTTGCATTTCCGCTGCCTGCGTTCTTTCTTCGTGTCCGTTCGTAATCCGCAAAGCGGGTCGACGCGCTATAATGGGGGGGGTTTTTATTTTGTTTTGTTTGTATTTGTTTATTTTTTATTTTTGTTTTTATTTTTTTTTTTTATTATTTTTTGTTTTTCTATTTTTTTTTTATTTTTTTTTTTTATTGAAAAAGAGGGGGCCAACCAAGACGCCACTAGCTTCTGGTTGATAAAGCAAACGATTCCGTTCCCGACAACTTCGGACCAGATTAAACCCTTTGAATTAGCCGATAAAATCGATCGGGGCGGGCTTGGTTGGGAAGGGGCGGAGAAAAGAAATCGCTGAGAAGATAGATTTCTAACTATTTAGTCCAGGACGAATGAGTGGGCTGTGCAGCATGCTCCGGTAGGGAGATTGACCTTCCCCCAGTCCAGTCCAGTCAGAAAGGGGAAGGCCCGCTGTCTTAGACTGCATTTCGGAGAGTTTGAAAACACCATCCATTTCAACCAAAAATAACACCCTGTAAGGTATCTAACCCTTATGAGTGGAAATCCAATCCCTGTTTTTGTCTTTTTTTGCAATAAAAAGCAGCGCCAGCCGGTAAATTATATTTAATTATATAATTTATAATCGTTCCTTCCGACCTTTTTTGAAGCGCAATAGTTTTCTCCTCAAAAATGAACCTCTCCAAAGTCGGGGAAGCATGAGATATTTAACCCTAAACCAAGTAGGTCCTTGAGCCGGATCCCACGTTAGCCCCAGACGTTGGTCCTCCTAACTGAAAAGTAAAATGCTTGAGCTTGAGTGAGAAAGGGCCTCCCGCCCCCGCCCTGATATTTTGCCTGTATGGGGGTGGGACCTCGGATCCGGAAGGTATGCACTAATCAGCTAACTATCTATATATGTCTGCCTCCCTTGAAAGCTCCCCGTGCCTGCGACTATCACCGGTCAAAAAGTTGCGGTCGGATCAACAAATCGGATTAGAATCAACTCAAAAGCAACTAGTCAACGCCTATTTTGCTCTGGATGCTACTGCCCGGACGCTTGAATTTATTCCAACCGAAAACACCGAATATACTACTGCAGAAGCCATTCCTAATTGCTTCAGTTGTTATTAGCTCTCACCTGTCACTAAACGCCACCATCAAAAGCTGGTAAACTTTTTCTTCGGAAGGGAATTCCAATCCTTGCCGGACCTTGGGCAGCCTATTCTTTTAAGTCGTCTGGTCTATTTCAATCCTTTCGATCATAATTCTCCCCTCTCTGTCGAAGTCAAGCCTAGAAACCTCTCTACAGCCCATGGGGATGGGGCAATGATTATAGTATAGGCTACTACTATACTGGTTTTAGTTGAGTGAAACGACTGCCTTGTCGAGCCCTCCTCGTCGCTTTCGAAATCGAGCTACTCTTTGCCCCTTCCCTTTCTGTCCTTAAGTCGATTCCTCCTCATCTCTAAGTCTCTGGCATTCTCAGGTCGGGGAAAGCGTTTTTGACTACAAATGCTCAGGGCTCCTTCTTACTGCTGCGGTTGAATCGGATAAAGCTGGTTAGATAAGAGTAGGATAGATAATGAAACTTTCTTATCTACTATCTTTTCCCATTGTGAGGGAGTCACATCCCATTAGGAAAGAATCAGAGAAGTTTCTAAATGGGGCACAGAGGAAGGAAAGCTCCAGCTGAAGGAGTTGTGCCAGATCAGCTACTATTCCAATAATGGGATTAGTGGAAAGAACTCTAGCTTTGTTTGTTACAAGAATCGAAAGTAAGGAAGTCAGTGTGGATAGAGTCCAGGGAGTGTTGTGTCAGACTTTCCTTGCTACACTAACTAGTTCTTGAAATCAACTGCTAGTAGTTCTAAAGCTCAACTCAAGAGGGGAAGTTCTCTTCAAGAAGAAAGCTGCAAACTCACTATCTGAATCAGCTGAAAAGGCAAAGGAAGTTTAAGATTAAAGGCTATCCTTGTTCAGACGAATAAGCAACTAAGTAAGTAACCAGATTCCCTTGTTGTTACGGAAAGGGCAGACTTCAACAGAAGGAAAGGGCAAACTCAGTTAAAGAAATGCCCTAAAGGAGATAATATCTAATGTGAAAGAGTTGTTGTTTTAGTAGCTAAGGGAGTTCTAGTTGTAGCTGAGTTGCTAAGCAGCTAATGAAGTTCCCGAGTTGCGAAATCAAAATCAAAAAAAATCTCTCGTCCCGGTCATCACTATTAGCGTCACATCTGAAATAGTGAAGAAGAGCCGTAAAGCAATAACGCGTAGGCGTAGGTCTTCCACTAATCACCTCTGGTGTGCCACTCGTCAGTTGAGAAAACCTGGGGGAGCCTATCTTCGTGGTACCATGACTGGGTTTCAGGGGGCCCATTAATATAAAACAGGGCAACTTAAACCATATTTGCTTTGAAGGTGGAGCCTATTGCTACAGAAGGAGGCCAGAACTTTTTCCAACCCCCCAAAACCCTTTAAATGGCCTTATTGCTAAAGAAGATAATGGCAAGAAAAAATTGGCTATGGACTGTGGAAAATCCTGTCGGATAAAAAATGGGAAAGGGATTAAGGAGAAGGGGCTTGAACGTAAGGCACAAAGCAGACCATTAGAAGGAAGGGGAGGCTATCAAGCTTTTCCGACGTACGGTCCTGGGTACATCCCAGATTATGGAACGAGAGAATGGGTCGGAAATTGAAGCTTATGAGTCGTCCACTACAGAAGGCTGACGACCCTGAAGTTGAAACTGGATGATTCCTTTTCTAGCAGTAGCAGTAAACTTCGCAGCAGTCCTAATTTAACTAAATAGAGCTCCGACAGTGATGAGAATCAGGCGAGGGAAGATGAAGAAAACTCCAAGCCTTAACATGTGCAGCGTCAGAAAGATGAGAGCCCCCTATTATGTTAAAGCTCCTCCCACGGAAGACGAAGTCAAGCAGATCCATTTTGCACGGACCGATGAAACCACGACCCGATTATTCATCAATGCCCACCTTGCTCCTGAAGAAGTGATGTAGTATACCCAAACCTCTCCAAGAGCAAGGCCCATAACCTGTGAGTTGCTGCCGCCTCTTGTTAAGGAAAAGAGACTAGACGCCTTCGGCACCTTCCTTTCTTCAATGCGAAAGATAGCGTAGCACTTTGAAATGGATCCGTTAACAGCCTAATCTCTGGAACTCTGAGGAGGCTCTTTCCTTCTTTTCCCCTCAAGATGTGCCCTTGAATTTGAAATCAAAGTCCTCTTTGGATCCTAAACTCGGATCTTAGGGGATGGAATGACTTATATAGAAGATCGGTATTAAGGATAGCTAAGGTCAGGGGAAGGGTACTAGTTTTACTAAAAAGGAGTACCTCTTAACTGAAACTAATAGTGCAATAAGAGAAATGCCTTTACCTATAGTTATGATATCAAAGTCTTCCTCAAATCATAGTTCCACTCCTCTTATCTTGCCGGAGGCTAACGACCACTCCCCCAAAGAGAAAACCATAATTGCGGTAGAATGAAATGCTTATTGCTGGCTGAGCCGTCCTGGTCGGCTCCCGCTCACGTTCTAATTCTAATCAGGTAGCTTTCCCCTCGCTTAGGTCAGCAGTTTGCTTCACTCATTGTTTTAGTCTTGCTGTGAATGCTACTTTGCCTGCTAAGTGGACAGGGGATCTCTGCTTTGCTTGCCCTTAAGCCTCTGTTTGGACCCGGTCAAGGTAAGGCCGTCCGGTTCGACCCGGGAAGAGGGAGCCATTGAGATCCTCTCTAGCAACGAGAAAGCACGGGATCTGGTTGGTCGAAAGGCTGTTCCAGCCACCTACTATAACCCAGTGATCTGGAAAAGATGCCAAGCCCTAATGAAGCCTTGCGGCAGGAGGATGGCCAAAACGCCTTTTTGGCGTCGTTACGAATTGAAAGATTTCGGATCGAATGTAGGCTTCAAATCAAAAGGCGAGGCAACTCCTCGCAGAGTGGGAAAGAGAAGTGGGTATGTGGGTCTCCTTCCCGCCCATTTCTGTGGCGGACCCCCCTCATAAATCGTATTAGGCTTTGTCCGAGTACCGAGAAATGGAAAGATTTTATTTTACTTTCAAATGAGGCCTAAACCTTGCTAAGCGAGAAAAGGTGTTTGGCATAACCAATTTCCTGACGTGATGAAAAAGAGTCCATAGAATGCTATGCCTTGATATCAAAGCCACTAGCAGAGCCCGATGCCGAGGATCCTAGCAACAAGCTTTATTACCGATAAACTGCTTGCTTTGACGGTCGGCTTTAGCCTACAGTTCTGATTCTGTTCCGGCTAGCCAACTCCTGAATCATGCTCCATTCGAAAACGAATTGGGCAACCTAGCAAGATTTGGAGAAAAAGGAAATCATAATTAGTGCGGAAAAAAGACCTTGCATACTATTCCAATGCGCCGGGGAAGAAAGGGCTCAAGCGCACTTTCAAGACAAGAGGGCAGGAATAATGTTGTTTTACATCCGGCTTTAGGCTTAGAGCGAAAGGGGTAACACGCGCGCAGAAGGAATCGAGTATGCTCTTCGCGAGATCTTTCTTTCCCTTAGCCAGCCAACAAAAGAAGGCAGGCGAAAAGGATAAACAGTCCTTCCGGGTATTTATTGCAGGGTCCTT